TCCTAAGTGTGTGATGGAATGGCTTTTGAAGACTCTTTTCTGGAAAGATTTAAATAAAATTTAATATTAGTTTCAGGAATTTTATTAAAAAGTATATAAATGCCATCTTCTTATTTTTAGTTTTCTAACCTATAAATTTTTTTCTTGGAATATGAAAATGAAGCTGAAATATTCACTATGTGTACTGTTACATTTCTGTAACAGTACACATAGTGAATATTTTTGTCTATACTTTGACAATAAGTAGATATACATTTATGTGTTATATATATGTATATACATATATATTACATATGTAATATGTGTACATTCATACAAATACATATTTCTGACAGTGAACTACCTGAATATTCCCATTTGTACCAACTCTTAAAATGAATTCATAAATAATAAACTAGCACTTCTTCAGTTTAATGAGTATTCATAGGATCCCATGGCAAATTATGGCCTTCTGTTACATTCAATTCTAACATTTGCATTTAAATACAATATTTTGCATTTAATATATTCTCTTTGCTGTAACAAAAAAAATAAGGCCACATTGAAATCTTGGAAAATATAATTGTAAAAACTAAACAAAAAGTACATTTTTTCTCTGTAAAAACTATTAACAAGCTTTAGACAAAACTAATGCCAATTTTTTTTTCAAACAAAGAATGGAAATTTGTATTGGATAATTTCCTTTCTTGTTTTGAAAATGTGCCCTAAAAATGTTGTTTTATTATTAATTCAAAGAAAGTTGGACATTGTTAAATTGGGGAAAATATTTTTGATCTGTGCCTTAGTATCTGTACTTTAGCTCCATAAAGATTTATACCATATTTTAACATATTTTGCATTTTGATTAATGATATAATGGTTGCTAGAATTTAATGCATTTAGCTACAATTTGATAAGCTAAGGAAAATGAAATAATAGAATGATAACATTGCACTTGTAAAGTCAATCAAAAAAGCACGCAATTTTATACATTAATATTGTGGTTATTGATTTATAAACATTTTTTCAACAAGATATTTTAACAGCTAAATTTATAGCATAAAACCTCAGCCAAATTATTTCTACACCTCATCAATTAATTTAATAAATTGAAGATAATTCACAATAAAAGAGAAGTTAAAGGTTGTCTCTATATATAATTCCACAATATATCTCAGGGCAGTACCTATGAAATCTGATGATTTTCATTCCTCAAACATGGGCTTGTACAGTAAGATGTTGAGTCAAACCAAATCACAGAAGGAGGATTCAGCAATTACTTTTAGCAAAATTAACTGCCATATCAAAAAAGCAACTGATTCTTTTAAGAAAGAGTTTTAACCAAATGTTTGGGACAAAAATGCTAACTTCTTTCTGGATTTTCCCGCCAAGCCTAACAAAAGAAGTCCAGGCTATTGAATGCTTCGATACAGTGACCTGTTGATGAACATAGAAAGACAATCTACCTTCTGCCCCCAAGAGTATCCTGAACCTTTTACACCTTAGGGTCTCTGGCACCTTGGTAGAGTCCTTTCTGCAAGAAATTTCCATCATGACTTAATAAATGTGATGGAGTTAAACTAAAAAGCCTCTTCAAAGCAAAGGAAACAATCAATAAAGTGAAGAGGGAGTCTACAAAATGGGAGAAAGTCTTTGTCACCTGTACCTCAGATATAGCATTGATTTCCAGGATATATAAAAACTCAGAAAATTTAACACCAAAAAAAAAATTCAATAAATGGGCCAAGGAACTGAACAGGTACTTCACCCAATAAGAAATATGATTGGTCAACAAAATATGAAAGCATATTCAACATCTCTAGCAATTAGAGAAATGTAAATTATTTATCAAGAATGCAAGCAACAATCGATGTTGGTGAGGACGTAGGAAAAAATGTTCATTCATGCATTGCTGGCGGGACTGAAAATTGGTGCAACCACTCTGGAAAGTAGTATGATGATTCCTCAGAAAAGTTTGAATGAAACCACAATTTGACTCAGTTATCCCACTCATCAGTTTATACCCAAACAACTTTAAATCATCATTATTATGGTGATGCAGTCACATCAATGTTTATAGCAGCTCAAATCACAAGAGATAAACTAAGGAAACAACCTAGATGTCCTTCAACATGCAAATGGAATGGAATATTACTCAGCCACAAAAAAGTAATAATACAATGATGACATTTGCAAGTAAATGGGTGGAACTGAAGAATATCATCCTAAGTAAGATAAGCCAGTCCCAAAAAATCAAAGTCTTTTTTCTGATATGTCAATGCTAATTTCACAATAAGAGGAGTTGTGTTAAGGAAGACTAAAAGTACGTTGGATTAGACAAAAGGAAATGAAGGGAAGGGAAGGGGAATGGGAATAGGAAAGGTAGTAGTATGAAATAGACATCACTATCCTATGTGCAAACATGAGTTCACAACCAATGTGATTCTACATCATATACAACCAGAAGAATGGGAAATTATACTCTGTATATGTAAAATTTATCAAAATATATTCTACTATCATGTATAATTAATTATAATAAATTAAAACATGAAAAAAAGGCTTGAAACGGTAGCTACCGTGTCATAGTTAAAAGACATCAATTGTTATTGGACAAAGAGTGAAGGTTTTAGCTATGGACTGTGCGTCAATCCCCCCCACTCCCAGCCCCCCATGGAGAAAGGCATTTGATTATCCTGTTTTCACTTTCAAAGGTCAACAGCCTTCAGTAGGATGAGCACTCAAAAACTGTACTTCTCTGGACAAGCAAAGAAAGTGACACCTTTTTTATTATGCCAGTTTGAAAGGAATGAATAACTTTAAAAGAAAGAAATGCTCTTTAATTTTAAAACAGGCTTTGAAAAGTGCAATGGAATGTTTCAGGTTTTATCAAAAACTTCAGCTACCCCGGGAACCTGAAAGGTAAGGAACAATTTTTAGAGAGCAAAGGAAGATATGTGAGGTGAATTTATCTAGCTGTAAATTATATCTGGGATTAATGAAATGGATTAAACAATAGCGGGACATATTTTACTTAATCTTTTTTTTTTGGGGGGGGTGTTGTTTGTCTTTCATTCATGCATGTATGATACTAAGTAAATTTTCAAAATTTTACTTGGCTCTTTGTAACATATTTTCTGTGGTTAAATAAATAGTAGACTTTCTAGAACCAATCTACATTACATCAATTTTCTGTGTTCTTGATTCCTACTGAAGGATCACTGAATGAAATTTTGGAAAATGTGGCATTTGTCAGTTGGGGAAGACCTATTTAGTGGTTTATAGTACTTCTACTGTGATCCCTAGTTGCAAGAGGTCAACTTAAAAAAACATTATTGAAATTCCCAGCACCTCAGTTCTAACCAATGCCTCCCTGTCACCTGTGGATGTCCAATTATTTAATAGTCATATGCATATTGCTTATCATAAACCAAGCAGGTTCAAAACACTTCATGTGTTATTAATCAATAAAAAAATCCTTGGAGGAACATATTAATGCAGAATCCGTTACAAATATTAACAAACTGAGGCTCAAAGACATACCCAGACACATTAGTGTAGATCATAAATAAGAAAGCCAGTGTTCAAATTGTTTCAAAGTGATAATAATACAACAGAAAAATCTCAGGTAAACATAGTTTTTAATATCAAATACTATTTGTATAGTCCAGCAGAAATTGGAAAAATCTTAACATTCTTCATTTACAGGCCTAATATATTTTATAACATATGATTATATTTTAATATCATGTTTCATGATAAGAAGAAGATCCCATGAAAGCTACTAAAATATAAATAAATAATTGGAAATAAGGTCATCTAATAAATACGTAGAATTTAAACATGCTGTGCCCTATTGCTATAAACATTATTCTTTTGATTTATTTATAGGTATTCATTCTAAAACACAAAGAAATTTAGGTTTATAAAAGGGTTGCAAAATGTATTTAAGCAGAGTCAAATTTAGCCATCTTCCAGGTATTTTTGATGTGTAAAGATTGTGATATGGGCTCTTTTGTCAGGGGAGTTATATCTTCTTTGGGACGATATGGAACCCTGAATGACTAAAAGACAAGGAAACAGTGTACAGATAATTTTTGAGGTCTACCTTCAGACCATCCTCCGGGCTTCTATGTGTACTACATATGTAGTTCTACCCTAATCACTGTTCTGAGAACAGAGGTATGGATTCCTCACTGCTAGGAAGATTTACAGGGTCTGGGGATGTAGTTCTCTGCTAAAGCACTTGCTCTGTGTTCACAAAGCCCCGGGTTGGATTCTGCATACCACATAACAACTGCAACAACAACCACAACAACAGCAAAAACAACAACAACAGCAATAACAAGAAATCTAGCCTGGGAATAAAAAAGACATTTCTAGCTGGTCTTTATCTGCTTTAGAGATTGCAACTAGCATAAAATGACTTCACAAATATGTAAGAGATACAACGTGTATGGAGACAGGCCATCTCAGAGAAGAGATCAACATGGACAAGCATTCAAGGTTTCTAGAATACATCATCCATTTAATATAAAAATGACAGGAGAATTCAAATAAAACAGCATCCTTGGGCTGGGGATGTGGCTCAGATGGTAACACGCTTGCCTGGCATGTGTGGGGCAATGGGTTTGATCCTCAGCACTACATTAAAAAAAATAAAATAAAGGTGTTGTGTCCACCAAAAACTGAAAAATAAAATATTAAAAAATTTTCTCTCTCTCTCTCTCTCTCTCTTTCTCTATCTCTCTGTCTCTCTTTTCTCTCTCTTTCTCTCTTAAAAAAAAGAGCATCCTCTTTCTTTTTGTTAAGACCTAAATACAGGAATATGAAAGCCTTGGTTACAATGACCAGTGTGTTGGGAGGTAAGACAGGAGAGCCAAGTCAGTGACGCTAGAGCTCCCGGGAATATAGACAATGCTCAAGAGCTATTTGTTGGCTAAATAAATTCATGAAGGACTTCAATGGCAAATGGAGAGATTCAAAATCATTATCTGAAGTTAATTATAGAAAGATATACAATTTATTTCAGATACTTTCTAATAAAGTATCATATTTTTATTTTTCATGATGCCAAAAAAAACCTTTCAGGATAAATAAATATTTTCATAGGTTACAAATTAGAAAATTCAGATGTACAGCAGGGACGTGGGATGTCTGAGGCTGCAGTTCAATTTCTGGCACGGAAAGCAAGCAAGAGAAAGAGAGAGAGGGAGGGAGAGAAGGAGAAAGACAAAGGAAAGAAACGGGAAAAGAAAGGAAGAAAGGAAGATAAAGAGAAAAAGAAAAAGAGAGAAAGAAAGGAAAGAAAGAGGGAAGGATGCGGGTAGATAAAGAGAATTATGGTTTGGATCTAAGATGTTCATCCCCGCAATGTTCCTGTGTTAGTGCAGGAATATTTGGAGGTGAAATCATTAGATTATATGGGCTGTAACCTAATTGGTCCATCGTGGTTTGAATGGACTCACTGGATGGTAACTGCAGGCGGATGGTAACTGTGACTGCAGGAGGTGGGTCCTTGGGACATGCCCTGGGAGGCTGCATCTTCCCAGTGGTCCTTTTCCCTATCTCCCTCTGCTTCCTGACTTCGTGTGCACAGATTCTCCACCACCTCCTTCCACTCTGATGTTCCCCTCACCTTGGGATCAGAGCAGTGGAGCCCATTGACCATGGACCGAACATCTGAACCATGAGCCAAAATAACCTGTTTTCTCTAAATCGTTCCCAGGTATCTTGATCACAGCAACAAAAATCCAACTGACACAAAAAGAAAATAAAGGGACATACCTGATGTCATGCATGCCATTCCCACCATTGGTGCTGTACACTCACATCAAGAGGAGCCCTGGATGTGCCAAGACATCATGCAAAGCAAGGTTAATACTTCAAGAGCCCATGTATTAAATGATTTTTGGTAAATTTTGTGTTCTAATTGAGATTCCTCATCTTCACTTAAAATACGTATTTTTTCCTCTGAATTTTTTTTTCTGCTGTTTTCTAGAGGAGAAATAGCTTGCTCTTTCAACAAAGGCTTCACTAAGTTTTTAAATATTTGAAACAAATACTATCTGATTTTTTAAATTACACTAGAGTCCAAGTCCCTATATATAACTATGTCAATGTTCTTGAAAGTGAAAAACTTATTTTTTTCTTAAAAAGAAATCAAATAGTTGGTTTTAATCCTGCACTAAACTGCAAAGCATAATTATCTTGATGAATGGTTTTTCTCAGAAGCCTGGTAATAACTCAGGGGTGAGAATGGCTAATGAGTAAACCACATTAACCTACATTGAACATTTCTCTTAAGAAATGAGATTGTGATTTCAATTGGGATTACAGTCATCAGGTCTGAACGTCCTTAAATCATTATCAACATAACCCCCATGCATAGCCTCTGTGGTAGCACAATAACAGCAATTGCAAGGCTATAATGTGACAGTGGTCTTTAAGGTCTCACCACCCTCTCCCTCAATTTCATCAGTGTTGCAAAATGAGAATTTTAGACTACCTGTATTTGACTCTTTCTCCTCAGTTTGCAATTATTCTTGTTTAAGCCACCCAGTCTGTTATTTTGTTACACTAGACCGAGCTGATGAAGACACTTCCTGTTACTCTACATGCAGCTATTGTTTAGCTCGAAAAACTTAGGCAGTAACTTTTTGTTGTATTTGGTGACAATTTGTGAATACGATTCAGTTTGAACACGTTTCTGGGAGCCAAGGTTAAGATGACTTAGAACCCAATGTACAAGATTTTTTATGTGTGTGTGTGTGTGTGTGTGTTATGTATATCAGTGCTAGTTGAGAGAGGTCTCTGTAGTATTTAGATGCTATTTGAATCTGAATAATCTGAATATCTAAGTAGGCCACTGGACCCTGCCAGCTGAAGCCAAAACTTTAGGCAGTAGCAGAGTAGAATAAAATAAAATTCATCTTATTTACCTAGTGAAGCTTTTAAATGTGAGCAGACCTGTTATGTCTGCTCATAAAGCTACAGCTGTGAATGACACAGAAATGACAAGGTTTGCCACAGCAAAGAGTAGAGGAGCACCTCCCCGGGTGAGAGGTCCTGATGACCTTTCCACAGGGGGTCATGCAGTGCTGAGCAAGAGGGCAAATCTTTCTCTCTTCTCCCATCTAAAATTCTGCTGTGAATAATGAGGGTGGACCTGACCTTCTGCACCATGACAATGATGAACACATAGTGAGCTTTGGGGGACTCTTTCAGTAGAATGTGGAATGGAATAAAAAGGCATTAGTCCCAGAAACATCAGGTTGTGCCCTTTTGCTTTAGCGTGTGGTTTATTTGGATTCATGGGCTTCAGTCAACCCAAGTTGCAGGGAAGAACAGAAAAAAGAATAAATTGTAGTGTCTATTGAAGGAAGTAGAAAGGAGGCAAGTAGAAATACTCTAATTTTTTTGCCCCAATTTTTTTAAGTATTCAAGAGGCTAAATCATCTGGATAATTAATTCAATAGCTTAATATGACTAATTTTTCTTCTTTACAACTTAGGTCATAAAGAATTAACATCTTAAAATTGAACAAAATTGAATGTTTCTAATCTAAGTTTTCTGTGAACAGTAATAAATAATATTTCTAGTTAATGAAATACCACAAAGACTCCCCTTATTTTTTCTGTAAATACAATGGGAATTAAATTTTGGACCATAGCTAAATAACTCAGTGTATTGAGAACAAGGAAATGTGAATAATTTTGTTTGGTAATTTATTTTTTCATAATAATGCATGAAAATTTGAAAATACCACAAGATGTTAGGAATATTGATTATTTAGAAACATAATGTATAAAAATCATGTTTCAAGAATGAAGTAATTTTCCAAATAAAATATATTTAATCAATTCTTAAGGCATGCACACAAATTTACATTTTAAAATCAAATATCTATATTTTCAGTGAAAGCGGTGAATACTGAATTATTCAGAAAGTAGCTTCAATTTTCCACTTCAGTTTCCACTTGTTGATAACATACAAATTGAATTTCTTCTGGACCATAATTGTCCACATGAAATATATATTTAGGCATGGGTATACACAATACATACCTAAAATAAGGGTGCAGGGTGAACATTGGGGTATTACATACAAAATAACTTCCTCTGATCATGTGAATATGCTGTATCAGAACAATAATCTCTGAATATACTACTTTAAAATATTAAAATGAAAAGAAATAAATTTTCAAAGAAAATAATGGTAAGTTTTGTTGTTGTTGTTGTTGTTGTTTTTATCTTACCCATTTAATTGATCCTGGTTCAGATCAAAATAACATATTTGACATTCTGTATTTCAAGTTGAGTAACATGTAGACATTACCATCTAAGGCAATATTTCAAACATGATATTTTTAAACTTCATATCCCACTTCAGTGAATAATATTCGTTCCTATTGTTTCATATATTTCATAATCTAATTGACTATGGGATCCATAAAAGCAAGAGCAGAATGCACCTATACATTGCTATCCCAGGCAAGAAAGAAGCCACAACCAGTATTGACTGATAGGGGAGTTCAGTCTAGAACTTCAAAATGAGATCAAGCAGACCCACCCTTCAGTGCCATTTCTCTCTCTCTCTCTCTCTCTCTCTCTCTCTCTCTCTCTCTCTCTCTTTGAGGGGGTCAAAACTGTGGATTGAATGCAGGAACTCTCAATCATTGAGCCACATTCCTAACCCTTTCTGTTTTATTTTTTAAAATTTTGAGTGTCACAAAATTGCTTAGGGCCTCACTAAGTGGCTGAGGCTGACTTTGAACTTGTGATCCTCCTGCCTCAGCTTCCTGAGTTGTTGGGATTAGAGAAGTGAGCCACCCCACCCAGCACCTATCCTCATTTTTTTAAATTGTGGTAATATATACATATAAATAAATTTTACTATTTTATCATTTTTAACTGTAAAGTTCAAGGACATTAATTTTCCTACCAGTATTCTATAACTATCACTATCTTTTTTTCACAAAATTTATCATACCGCTAACAAAAATTCTGTTTTCACCAGTCAAAAATTTCTCATGTCCTGTTTCCTAATTGTGGCAATTTCTCATCTATTTTCTATCTTTAAAAATATACTTATTCCAGATATTTTATATAAGTGCAAAAATGTCTTTAAATTTCAATTTCTCTTTTAAGGTCTTCAGGGAAAAGTCCAAGAAGGGCAATAGCTGGGTCAAATGGTGGTTCCATTCCCAGCTTTCCCAGGAATCTCCATACTGCTTTCCAGATTGGCCGCACCAGTTTGCAGTCCCACCAGCAATGTACAAGAGTACCCTTTTCCCCACATCCTTGCCAGCACTTGTTGTTGTTTTACTTCATAATGGCTGCCAATCTTACTGGAGTGAGATGGTATCTTAGGGTGGTTTTGATTTGCATTTCTCTGACTGCTAGAGATGGTGAGCATTTTTTCATGTACTTGTTGATCGATTGTATGTCCTCCTCTGAGAAGTGTCTGTTCAGGTCTTTGGCCCATTTGTTGATTGGGTTATTTGTTTTCTTATTGTTCAATTTTTTGAATTCTTTGTATACTCTGGATATTAGGGCTCTATCTGAAGTGTGAGGAGTAAAAATTTGTTCCCATGATGTAGGCTCCCTATTTACCTCTTTTAACAAATAAAGCTACTAAGGCCATTTGTGTAAAAGTTAAAAAATAAATAAATAAATAAATAAATTTCAATTTCTTTTTATTTCCATCAGCTATTCATACCCATGTTCTACAGTGGTTGACAAGAACTCCCCAGGTAGAGAGCCCATCCAAGGGAATACCTTGCTCTCTGCCATCACATGATGCTCCAGACTTGGAAGAATTTGACCAACTTTCTTCAAGAGAGAAGCTGTCTACACCCGTGGTCTTCTGAAAGACAGACTGATCATTCTCTATTAGACTAACATCCACTGAATTGGAAGCAGTTAAATGTATTGCTTCTTCCAAAGATTTTTAAGTTTGTCCAGGAAACATTTTAAAGTTTCTTCTAGATGTAGCTTTTACTTCAATTTAGAAATAAGTTGCATATAATAGAAATTTTGACACCATGATCAACTATAGAGACCTGTTGCTTCAAGAGATCTTATCTTTATAAAAAATATCACTCGAGACAAACTGTGGTTTCCTGTTTAAGCCTGCCCCTTCTTCCTGTATTTTTTCCTGAGTGATTTTTTATTATTGCAAGAAAATACACATAATGTAAAATATAACATCTCTACCATTTTAACTATTGTAAAAAGCTCAAATCAATGACATTAGATAGATACACAATTGTACAACCTTCACGATTTTCTATTCCAGAACATTTTTTTATTATCCCAAGAAGAACCCCCAAATCCATTAAATAAGCTATCCTCATCCCAAGGTAACCATTAATCTACTTTCTCTCTTTGGGTTTACCTACTTTAGATAGTTGAAATAAATGGAATTGTACAACTTTGGGCCTTTTATGACTATGTCTTTCACTTAGCATTGGTTTTCAAGGCTTACCCTATTTTAACATGTGTCAGAACTTCTTTTTATGATGGAACTAGATATTGTTACATGGATAGATCACATTTGGGGGAGCAGTGTGTATCAGCACAAGATTGATCTGATCAGTTTTCTGATAGCCACATTCCCATTAAGTCTCTGCCTTCTTGGGTGTAAGCATTGCTCCTGTTGGATGTGTTTGTCAAAAGGAACAAAAGTGATATATTTAAACTTCACATCCCACTTCAGTGAATAATATCCCTGAAGCTTCACACTTAAAACCCAATCAACTGGAACCTAAATGTAATGGTCCGTATCTCACACATTTTATGGAGTGACCAACGAGGCATAAGCTGTTATTGAACATTAGAATTCAAGTTATAGAATAAGATCTTCCATTTGAAGAAAAAAAAAAAGGTTTCAAATTTCTTGCTTAACAGCTTCCCAGCAATATGTATCCCTGGTAATGACCATTATTCACAGACCTGATTTGCACATAGTCCTCAAATTTCTCCCTGCCATTTTAAGTAGTGGTTTCTGTTCACACCATGAAAATTGAGAAAGCAGCTGTTGAATTCCTGTAGACAATTTAAAATACCTATTATTTTGGAAATGGAAAATATTTTGAAATATAAGCCTGAGAGATAAATATGTACTGTTAAACAGTGGAACTAATATTGCACTGTGGTATAACTGCTATAAAGCAGTAAATTTCCATGAAAATTATTTTAACCTATGTAAGTCTCAAGATCCTAGATTCCATCATTACATTATCTGAAGATAATGAGAATGAAGTCCTGCCTGATGACTCCTAAATCTTTAAATATTACCAATGTGTCTGCTGTTCGATACTAGTTTTCAAAGAATCTAACTCATCTGTGATGCAGGGCAAAGGAGGCCTCACGCTCGCCACTGCATACTCTGTACAGGTGCCTTTGAATTTCACTCAGTTACCTGCAGATTATGGAAGAGTTTTCTGAAGGATATAATATATTCCTCTCAGAAAAAGCCTACAAATGTCCAGATCCTGTAGCTATTATTTAAATTTAATATATATTATACTACTTCAATTTATATAATAACTCATATATATATGTGTGTATATATACATATCATATGTAATTATATAGAGATATCTTCACATAGTATAACTATATATGTGTGTGTATATATATATATATATATATATATATATATATATATATATATATACAAAAAAAAAGTACCAAATTCCTCAAAGAAAATTTTTACTAATATTGGCTCTGTAAGCTAAAATGTCAGTACTGAACACAAAAAATGCAAACTTGGTATAATTCTGGCATATGTGCTGTTCAATTTACTTGTTCATGTATATAAAATGAGAGTCTACTTCAGATGCACCAGATACTTAATTCTTTGTGCACCTGATGAATGAAAATGTGCTGTATCATTTCTAAAACTGTGGAAAGTTCTCTTAAGAATGTGTTCATTGGCTGGAAGTTTCTTTTCAGGGGATTTTCCATTTCAGAAGCAAACTTTATTGTAATTTAGATTTTGACTTCAGGCAAACAACATATAAAAGTATTTTATACAAAGGTATAAATTCTTACAGATAAATACTAGAAATGAAAGAAAGAAATGAAAGAGAGGTTTGCATGATATAAATCTGAGGTATGGTGGTAATTTTACAAAGAGTTATGTTTTTTTCTATAAATGATTATACAAAATTAAATAAAATTTATACTATGAATAAACATTTTTCAAATTCCCTATAGGAAATAATGTGGATATAATTGATCATAGACTGCCATTATAAGTACCACACTTATTCCAGTTTTAATCATGCAATGCCTACATCTATTTACTTTTCAATTTTGAAAAGTCCCATGAATTTATAACATTTAAAAGGTTAATTGATCTAAATAATATCTTTACTATTTCATTACACTGATAACAATCTTCATTTAAAGGCTTTAGAATGGAGGGAATAGACCAGTAGTGCCACGTCCTTAATTTCAGCATGCGTTGACATAAGCTGATGTGCTCCTTAAACACACTGCTGGCCTAAGTACCCCCCCGCCCCATCCAGGCTCTCTAACTCAGAAGGTCTGGGGCAAGGCCTGAGAAAGAGTGCATCTAAGAAACTGCAGGTGGTTCTGATGTTTCTGAAGCAGGTCCAAACATGAAGAGCAGTGGACCAAAACAAAATTAATATTCATCTTTAGTTAAAACAAGTAATTTCAAAATAAAAATTTTCCTAGAATTCTAAGTTAATTTTTACAGGCTCCCGGAATCCCTATTCCAAGCATAATTGGAGAAAGGAAATCTGGCTAGGTAGCATTTAAAAACACTGTAGGAATTTAGCTTTCTGTTTCTCTTATGTATAGAATTTCCTTTCATCACATAAATGAATTTGTTGTTTGTATACGGAATTATTTGATGTTTATAAAGAGAAATAGATCTTGTGAAACTCAGACTACACAAAACATTTAGATTTTGCCCTGACAATCTTCTGAAATTCCTAAAGTCAATATTTTTTTTTATCAGTTCTATGACTTTTACTAGTATATACCCCAGGACACATTTGCTTCATCTCTATCTGTGATTATAGTTTGCTGCTAAGCTCTCTATAATCATTTGATGAAAGAAAGACAGAAGAAGGGAAGGAAGGAAGGAAGGAAGGAAGGAAGGAAGGAAGGAAGGAAGGGAGGGAGGGAGGGAGGGACCAGGGTGGTGAAAAGAAGAAACATATATTGATTTAAAAAAAATGTAAAAAACCACAACATTGATTAATCTCACACATAAATATTCAATATTTCCAGAACATTCTTTCTTTCCTGCATTCCATCCAGGAGAAAAGAAGGCAGAGCTGGCTTCATAGGAAGGTGACTCTAATCCTACAGAGCTTCCTGATCAGACTGTCTCTGTGCTTGGCTAAACGTTTTGTTAAATTGTTTTAAAATTCTTAATAAGTCTTGAACAGATCCCATATGTTCATTTTCTTTCTGAATCTGGTTCTATACAAAGACTTATAGAAAACCCTGTTCTCTAACTTTAAAATATTAATTTAAACAACTGTTTTTCCTCTTCCATTGTAAATGTATACTTGTTAAGTAGATGTCTCAAATTTTAGAGCTGAATCAAATATCTGCACATAGGAAATATATTAACTATAACAAAATAATCAAAGAGAAGAAGATAAAACTTGGAGAAAAATGAGTAGACATAAAATTTGAACAACTACACCCTGGAATTTCAACAAAGAAGAGACAAGATAATGTGAGTAAAAAAACTTCCAGTCTTTGGAGGAACACTCCCTTTTCTCCAGAAGGAAGAAACCCTAACTTGTAAATGAGTTGGGGACATTATCATTTATCTAGTGTGAGCAATGGACCAATCTAATAACTTACAAATTGTGTATGGAGGGATTTCTGGCCTAAATGATCATTGAATGACTCCCCCAGTAGCAAGGTTAATTCACCTGGTCCATGTGGGCGTGAGTTCCATTTAGAGGGTTTTACTGAAATGATTTTTATTAGTGCTTTACATTTATAGATAATATTGGGGTTCATTCTGACATATTCCTACATGCATGGAATATAATGTACTCCATTTCAATCCCCAGTACTTTCTCTTTCCTTCCCTTCCTCCCTCCCTCTCTTCCCCATCCTCTACTGGTCTTCCTTTTATTTATTTGTTCTTTTTTCAGTTGGTGTTTTACAGGTACATATAAAGGCAGAATTCACTGTGGTATATGTACCCAGCATAATTTGGTCGATTTCATTCCACAGTTTCTCCCTTTGCTTGTCCCTGCTCCCTCTCCTTTGATCCTCTTGCTCTACTTCACTGATCTTCCTTCTATTTTCCTGGGCTGTTTCCTGTAGCTGTTTTTTTTTAATTTTATTTCTTTATTTCTCTCTAGTTTCCAGGTGACAAAATAAACATTCAACCTTTGACTTATAAGTTTTTATAAATTATTAAATCAACACAACTTTATACAACCCACAGAAAATAAACAATTAATATTTCATTATTTTTTATCAGATTATAAAAGTATACCAAATCCAAAGAAAATACCAAATAGAATTTTGTGCTACTTTCAAGGAGCCACCTTACAGAAACGCCTCCATATGGAAGGGACAGAAGATGAAAGAAGTATCATTTTGTTACAGCTATAATGAACTTCCAAGTAGCAGTAAACAAATGTCCAACACTTTTTTTTTTTTAATAAATCGTCCTCTGTTTGAACGAACAGAACACAATAAAAAAGAATTACCCAGGGAATAAGGCATTTTAAAGTAGAATATTGGGCCTCCTGTTCATGAGTAATTTATTTTTACTTAAAAGTAGGTAAATAGTAGGCACTGAATCAAAATTGATCTAGAGTTTGAGCAGAAAAACTATAATTAATGAACTTCATAATAATCAAATTTTTTCTGTAGTACATGTTACACTTCTGTGTAATGAGAATATTGAAAATGGGACTCTAGATCTTTCAACTCTTAGGCAAGAGTCATGAAATGATGGTTAATTTATCCATGTTATTGTTTCCTTGGATTAGGAGACCGAAGAGTAAAATTAACAGAAAACCTGAATAAGTCTCTAATTTAGCTTGCTCCTAGTGGCTTGATTTCCTTTCTGATTTTAGAAGCAGCCATGTTCTGAGCACGCCTTCTCTGAAGAAGCATGAAGGTTATTACACAAATGCAGTCCACGGATTACTTCTCTCTGCTTTCATACAATGCTTTTATCCACTCCTCAGACCACCCTGCTTCTTTATCCCATCAATACCCCTAAACTTTTCTTTGGGGTGGCATATTTGAGACTTATTATCACATGTCTGAGCTTGAGCATCATGAGAATCAGCTGTTTCTTTCTTGCAAAACCTGTAGTTTCAGTGAATGGCATACTGTGCTGTGGGAAAAAGAA